CATAATCCTTCGGTTAAAAATGAGCTACCAGGTATCTAACTTCTTTAACATTGAGTTTTTGTGTTTTTATGGGGTTTTTTTCTTTTTTTTTTTTTGGTATATTGTTTACATTTTGAGAGTAGCATTCTGTTTCAAATGCTCTTTTTGTTTTTCTGACAGTATTGTTTGGGTCAAAACATTTGAACTGTGGTTGGATGGATTTTAGATTTTTTTTTAAAAGGTCCTTCTCTGTGCTATCTTCAAAACCTTGGGTTTAGCCCTCTAATTCCTTTGGCATTCGAATGTTCAAAAGCTGTTTATCTTGGTTTATACCAGTTTTCTTTCTCTTTTTGTAATGATGCAGGTATATTTGGTTTGTGGTCTGAATGTGGAGAAAGTGAACTGACCCCCCAGCTCATGTCTGCCCCCATTCCTTTCTCTGAGCCCCACCGTTCCCTCTCTGGGTTGTAGAAGGCGTCCGAGGGCGAGGGACTAGCCTCAGCCTCCCTCTCTGGAGCCAGGGAGAAAACCTCCAACAGTCTCACAGCATCCCAGAATAATTTGGGGTCTCCCAAGAACAAGGGTGTAAGAATAGGACATGACTGACGGGGTGAAGCCTGGAGGGGGAAGGAAGCCTGTGCAAGATTCCTCGCCCTTGCCCGCCTCAACCGCCTCGCCAGTCGCAGCTTCTCCCGCCCTGAAGCCTGTGGCTGAGAAACCAGTCTCCCAGGCCCCGCAGCCCAAGCGAGGGTTCTCCGAGAACGCCACTGAGACCACTAGAGGAAGGCCTCTGGCCCTTGTTCCTTTGAACGAACTACGGAGTGTGGCCCCCAGTGCGGGCTCCTTCCCCGTGCCCTGCGGTGTGGGGGCCCCCGGCAGAAGCCAGCAGTTCCGGGAGCGGACTGAGCCGGTGCTCCCCCTCTCCTTACCTAGCTCAGGGGTTACTGGTCTGGGGCAGGTGCCGCGAGTCGCCCCTGTGGCTGGTCTCAGTGGCACCCCCTAAGTTCCCACCACAGGCAGCTCTTCTTCTCCTCTCCCTCCCTCTTCCTCGTTTCTCTTGCCTGTGCTTTAGGCCTCAAACAGGTCCCCTGGTCGTGCTCAGGGCTGGGGACTACAGACTCCTGCCCTAACGTCCGCCAGGACCTGCCCTGGGGAGGTGGACCAAAGACCCGGGACTTTTCTCAGCAGCCAGTCCCACCCCCCCAGTTGTCTTACCAGTTCAAGTGGGGAGGGAAGAAATTTCGGCACTCCCTGGCATTTGAGCTACTCAAGTGTCGGGGGCCAGAAGGGACTGTGTGTTTAACAGCTCTGGCCTTAGAACTGTGGCTCCCCCAAGTCTAGGGACCTCACTTCTTTCTGGCAGAAATGGCGGTGGGAGGGTCCAGCCTGAGCACAGGAATCCCAGGGAAAACCCAGTTGAACAACTGCCCCCAAATCTACCAGCCATCTGCAAGGGGCAGGGACATGGCCCACCTTCCCTCGGAGACGTGCCACGTACGATGAGCACCTCTAACGGAAAGAGGAGACTCAGCTGTCCCCAGCGTGTTGTGCTGAGATCCTTGGGAGGCTGGGGAGGAAACTTGCAGGGGCCCCCTCCCCTGCTCAGAGCTGTTTTGTGAGTTGTGAACCAGCAGCCTTGGGGGGGCCCGAGCTGCTTGGCACACCCGGACATCAGGTCAGATCATGGTCATCAAAAAATGTGAATGAAGCTTAGATTCACCTCGGGAGGTAGTGGGACACACTGGCACCCGCCATACGGACGTGACTTCTCGGTTTCTCACTGCGACCTCCCGTTTTTTTAAATAGGAATTTTCAACCCCTTGTGCTTGTCTAATGTCTGCTCAGAACAGTTCGAGACCCTGTTACTGTTTTAAAATGCATGCATGTTAAGATGAATCTCCAACCCAAGGAACAAATAAAACTCAAAAAGCTTTGTGTACACATCTGTCATGTATGAGTCCTTTGGAAATGAGCCTTTATTTTTTCCAGAATTAAAAGGTTTGGGTCCCAGTTTCAAAGGTTGCTTGGACAAAATCCCAGTGTGACTTGAGTTTGGAGAAAGAATACAGGCTAGGACTTTGGCCGCCGACTTTCCTTCTGCGCACACCGAGAAATGGACAAACCACCGGCCCTCACTTCTCCAGCTGTGTAAGACCAACACCGGTGGGGGGGCGGGGCAGACACCTACCACACCTGTCCCTGCTCTCCCGTAACTAGCTACGTGGTCACCTCGTGTATCTCATGTTCTCCATGTAGACTCTCAGCTTAAAATCTAGGGGTTCTCCCAGTGTGGTCCTTGACCAGCTGTGTCAGCAGCAGCTGCAAGTCAGAAACAGAAATTCCGGGGCGCCTGGATGGCTCAGTTGGTTGAGCGACTGCCTTCGGCTCAGGTCATGATCCTGGAGTCCCTGGATCGGGTCCCGCATCGGGCTCCCTGCTCGGCGGGGAGTCTGCTTCTCCCTCTGACCCTCCTCCCTCTCATGCTCTCTGTCTCTCATTGTCTCTCTCGCAAATAAATAAATAAAATCTTAAAAAAAAAAAAAGAAAGAAACAAATTCCCAGGTCCCTCTGCAGATCCGAAGCAGGAACGGTTTTAACAGGCCCTCCAGGTGATTCTGATGGAGGCTCAAGTGAGGGAACCACCGCCACAGGTTGCAAGCTGGAATCATTTGGGAAGCTTTTAGGAAAGACAGGTGCCAGGCCTTTAAAAGCCAGTTAAGTCAGCATCTTGAGGGATGGGATCAAAGTATCTGTGTGACTAGTGTGCAGCCAAGGTTAAGAAACGCTGAGCCACAAGGGTATTACCTGTGGCTACGTGGCCCAATTTCTACCTGAAACAATGAAAGATTTAAGAGTTTTCCAGCAGAACTGAGTGAAAAGGATTCTAGACTTTGGGGTCAAATGGAATATGGGTTTCCATTGTTGCTCCACCACTTATTGAAGTGGCCTCGAGCAAATTAACTGCCTTAAGTCGCCATGATGACTACATTTTAGAACGTGTGAAGCACTCTGTGCCAGGCCCAGCGCCCAGCAGGCGCCCAGCAAGTCCTCTGTAGCTGTTACCCCACCGGTGCACCAGCAGAAGATGCTCTAAGGCAAGAAGAAACCCAAGGGCTGCGCTATACCCGGAGGAGCTCCTTGTAACTACCAAGCTGGGGACAAAGATCTCTGGTAAAAGACCCAAAGACAAAGAAGCAGAAGTGAAAGAAAAACTATTTATTTAAAAAAAACAACAAAAAAGTAGGCTCTGGGAAGAGAGGGTTAGTCCATGCGGGCCTTCAGTGTCCTGGTGGTGATTTTGTCCTTCTCGCTGCAGGGGAAGAAAGTCACAAAACATCTACACCATTCTGGAATGCAGAGCAGCTGTGCTGCCAGCTCTGAGGTTGAACTGTTTCGCTTGTTTCACATGAACAGTTTGCCTGCTCAGTCTGGGATGAGCAAGGGGAGAAAGGCGGAACAGGGAGACCAGTGAAGAATCTCCAAAGCTGGAGCCACCAAGAGTCCAGGTGATTCAGGGCTTGACTGGGCAGCCCTCCAGAGAGGGGCAGAGCGCCTCCCCCCGCCCCCCGGCCCAGAGAACCAAGTCAGGAAGGGGAAGTATTGTGTTTCACCTCACGGAACATAAAAGACCCGAATGGTCAATTCTCTATATCAGCCCCAGTCTGTTTTTCATAATTAAGCAAGCTCTCCCATTAAAAAAAGGGTCCAAACGCTTATTTTGGGACGTACCCAAGGAAAGCTGTTGGGAGGACACCTACTTCATCCAGCCAGGTTCCTGGTGACAGCTCCAGACACGTAAGGGGAAATAGGGGGTGGCAGGTAGGGAACTGGCTGGGGTTGGAAAATCTGTTCCCAGAGCTCAGAATATCACCCTGTTGGGGCTCAGAATGTCATCCAGAAGCAGGAGCTGGGAGAGGAGGGAGTCGCCTGGAGTTCTGATCAATCTGCAGTAGTTCTGCTGTGGCGCATCCCCACACAGACCCCTGAGATTTGCGGATACTTAAGAAAGCAATGTCCACTGTGAGCAAGCGGGGGTCGGGGGCGGACTCAGGGTCACGGAGCCTCACCTGACCGAGGCCAGGGAAACCAGGTTGGGTTTCTGCTATCCCAAGCCTGCCACAAGTGCCTTTCCTCCCTCACACCTGCTCAGGGGGATGGGAAAAGGAGGTGTTTGTCCGGGAGGGGAAAGGCAGGTGTCTGCAAAGCTTCTTGGCTTTTCCCAACTCATACTCACATGATATGGACAATGACTCCCATGCCTGACACTGCATCCCGATCCACAGCATTCAGCATGGCTTGCGAGATGGTTTCAAATAGGTGTTCTGGCTCCTGCCAACAGAGCAGAAGCCTCAGACCCAGAGCCTTGGACCCTAACTTGGTTTGACCCCTTAACTCTCTTTTTCCTAGGCTCAAGGTCCCCAACTCTGGCTATCCCCGTGCCTGAAGTGGGGGATGGTTCCCCGGCTGTGGGAAGCCCCCTCAGCTCCTCAAAAGGAAGCAGGGTATGGAAGGGAAAGTGAAGGAGAATTTAAGCCCTAAACTTCCTCCGCTAACCAGCAGTGACCTTGGGCAAGTTACATGTCCCTTTATTAAGCTCAATCCCTCTTCTGTAAAATGAGGTGAATCCATTTGACTTCCAGGTGCTTTCTGAGTTGTCTATGGGCTCTCCTCCTGGGTGCCACACAGGTGCATCAAAACTTACCTGTCCAACCATGAACCCACTCCCTCCCCCCACACCTGTTCCTCCTACGTCCTCCATCTTAGTTGGCTTAGCTAGAAAACTCAGACATCCACATTATCTCCACCTCCCTCACTTCTGTTTGAAGCAACCAAATCCTCTAGACTCTAGCTGCTACACAGCACCCCCCCGCAACTATCTTTGCTCCTCCTACAGGTGACCACAATAAGCCTATGGCATCTACCTGCGGGCTCTGGACCCTGACTGCCTTTCACACAAGGTACTAGGGAAAAGTTCAAGCTCCCTGGCACGGCATTCGAGGCCTTTGACGTCTCGGCCCACTCTTGCCCTCCACCATCATCTCGCCCCACGCTCGGCCCACGCTCCAGCAGCCACGGCAAGCTCTCTCATCACTGAACACACCTGGCCCTCTGGGACCTTCCCACAGGCTGTTTTTCTGCCAGCCAGGCCCTTTCGTTTCCCCGCTTCCTGACAAACGCATTTTAGCGTGCATTCGGGTGTCTGTCTTGCTTCATCAGACCGCAGTAAGCCCGTGAAGACAGCCTGCCTGGTTTCCCAGGGCTCGGCAGAGCTGATAGAACGGCCAGCCCCCACTGCCAGGCACCGTTCCAGTCTTCGTGTGTCTTCCTCACGCTGCCCCTCCTAAGGTGGGCCACGTCATTATCCTCATCTTCCAGCTGGGCCAGTGGAGGCACCAAAAGGTAAGATGACCGACCTAAGAACAGAACTAGGTGACAGGTGGATCCAGGTTTCCAACCCAGACACCCTGGCCTCAGAGCCCATCCTGTGGATCCGCTTCTAACTCTACCCCTTGTTCACTGTTCGTTCAATGAATGGATGCGAGAACCCCTTAAAGCCAAGGTGAGAACTATGTTGCTGCAGCAAATATCTGACTGGGGTCTCCTAACAGAAGGTGACGTGAGGGATGGTTCCCTGGATGTGGGAAGCCCCCTCAGCTCCTCAAAAGGAAGCAGGGTATGGAAGGGCAAGTGAAGGGGAATTCAAGCTCTGAACTTCCTCCACTAACCAGCAGCGACACCAACGCCTGCACCAAGGCCTGGCAGATGGAGTTTCTGGACACCCTCCCAAGGCCCAGCAACTGGGCTTTCTCTCCTACCTGCACCTCCTCCTGATGTGAGGACATCACACACCACGTAAACACGTGATGGCCAAGGGGTGGACACCTCAGAGCCCAGTCCCACTCCGTGCTGCCGACTCACCATGTTGGGCTCCCAGAGGGACTCGCACATCCCGTACATCTGTTCTGAGCAGGTGCCGCTGACCACAAAGTCGTCAGTCACCATGGGGCAGCCGATGAGGTCTAGAGAGCAAATGAAGGGCTTAAAGGTCTTCGGGTCCAACCCAGCGATGACGGGCTCTGTGTAGTAGGGGCCAAACCTGTGCAGGCCAGGAGCAGAAAGAAACCACAGCTCAAGCACATCCACTTTCCTGCTCAGGCCTACTCAGACGAGGCCCTGGCTCAGACCGGGCAGGAGCACAGAGGGCCTCTTTGGGAAGACCCACTTCCCCAAGGCCAGCTTTTCTTTAAACCCTACGCCCAAGAGACGGCTCAACCTCAACGACCCCAGGATTAAGAGTCACATGCTCTACAAATGAGCCAGGTTTGGTTCACCCTTCCCCACCTCCTGGCATCTGACAATGCTCAAAGACTTCTTCTTTTCCCTGACACTTGCCTTCCTATCCTCCTCACCCTGACCTTCTCTTCCACTTCCTTTTTTTGGGAATTCTGATTTCTTCTAATCTTCCCTATCCTAACCAAAGTCCTACCACCATTCAATTCTCTATTCATACATCTATCTATACCTCCACTCCTTTTGAAAACAGCTTTGAAGCAATTTCTAAGAAAAATACTGAAAAGGGGCACCTGGGTGGCTCAGTCGTTAAGCGTCTGCCTTCGGCTCAGGTCATGATCCCAGGGTCCTGGGATTGAGCCCTACATCGGGCTCCCTGCTCAGCGGGAAGCCTGCTTCTTGCTCTCACACTACCCCTGCTTGTGTTCCCTCTCTCGCTGTGTCTCTCTCTGTCAAATAAATAAAAATAAAATCTTAAAAAAAAAAAAATACTGAAAAATAAAACGAAACCATTAAAACAACACAAGACACTCAGACCGAACACAAAGTTTTGTTGTGAGTCTCCCGGCAGGCAAGGCAAAGGACATTCAGTGAGCTGGGTTATTTTCATTGCCTGCCTACAGGAAATGGGAGACTTTCCAACCTGTTCTAGACCCTGAGCTCTGAGAAGAATTAATCTCAGGAATCTCTCTACATAAAACACTCTATATAAAAACTAATGACCACTATTCTCAATAGAAACAGTAAGTTAAGATGTGGGGCGCCTGGGTGGCTCAGTTGGTTAAGTACCTGCCTTCGCCTCAGGTCATGATCCCGGGGTCCTGGGAACGAGCCCTATATCAGGCTCCCTGCTCAGTGGGGAGTCTGCTTCTCCCTCTCCCTTTGTCACCCCCCCCAC